TATTTGGAATTGGTGAAAAATCAGAATAAAACACACATAGTATTTAGGAAAATAAAACCTGTTTACAGAAATAACAGCAGAAAACTTTCCAAGTGTGGGGCAAGAATCAAGCACACAGGTAAGTGAGGCATACAGAACCTCTGGGAGTCATCTGACTATGGAATGAACTTCTACGAAGTGTGAGCTGACTTGCATTTCCTCTTTTAATGTGTGGGGGTCGGGCACTGTGTATTAGCAGCAATGAAAGTAACTAAGACACTGATCTTACCAAAGATGAAAAATAAATCCAAACTGCAACAATTTGAAATGACACAGTTGAAATCACAACAGATAAAATCACAACAGATACAGCTGAAATGAAAATTATTAGCAACTACTTTGAGAACCTGCACTCCAATAAATTGAAAATCCAGCAGAAATGGGTAGATTCTTACATACATATTAAATACCAAAATAGAACCAAGAAGATAAAATCCCTGAATAATCCAATAACCACCAATTGAATTGAAGAAATAATTGAAAAACAAACAAAATACCATCTAAGAAAAGCCCAAGACCTGATGGATTCACTGCTGAATTCTACAAGAATTTCAGGGAAGATCTAATGCCAATACTCCTCAAATTTTAATGAAATTGAAACGAAGGTGTATTCCTAAAGTCACTTCTTGAAGCTAGCATTACTTTGATCCCAAAACTAGAAAACCCAACCAAGAGACCAAGTGAGAGAGCGAGAAAATGAGAGAATGAGAGCGAGAGAGAGGGAGCACATATGAGCGAGGAATGAAAATGAATTACAAGTCAAACTCTTTAATGAATACATATACAAAAATCCTTAACAAAATAATGGCAAACAATGCAACAAATCATCAAAAAAATCACACATCATGATCAAGTAGGCTTTATCCCAGAGATGCAGATATGGTTCAATGTACACAAATCAATAAATGTAATGCATCATATAGAAACAGAGAACAAAAATCACATAATTCTCTCAATTGACATAAACAAAAGCTCTAACAAAATGTAACATCCATAAATGATAAAAACTCTGAAGAAATTTTGAAAGCCCCAATGCAATATGTATAAACTATGACAAACCAATAGATAACATCATATTAAATGGGGAAAAGCTGAAAGCTTTCCCTTTAATATCAGGAACAACACAAAGATGTTCATCATTACCATTCTTGTTCAATATACTACCATACTCAACATATTACGTCAGGCAAGAGAAAGACATAAAAGAGACAATATGGATAGGAAAAAGTCAAAGTATCATTATCTGTAGATGACATAATCCTTTATTAGAAGACTCAAAAAGAATTTCAAGAAAAAATTCCTTGAATTAATAACCAAATTCCATAATGTGCTTGCTCACTCTCTCGCTCTCACTTTCGGTTGGGTCCTTTCCTAGTTTTGGAATCAGGGTAACGCAGGACAGAAAAACAATATACAGAAATCAATAGTGTTCCTGTACACCAATAATGAACTCACTGAAAGAGAAATTAGAAAAACAACACCATTCACAACAGCATCAAGAGAAATTAAATACTTAGGAATTAATTTAACCAAGGAAGAGAAAGGTTTCTACAACAAAGACTACAGTACTCTGAAAAAGGAGATTAAAGAGGATATCAGAAAATGGAAAGAAATTCCATTTTTAATTAAAAAAAACCAGGCAACTGAAATGAATAGATACTTCTCAGAAAAAGAAGTACAAATAAATAGCCAATAAATACATTAAAAACTGTTCAATGTGTCTGGCCCTTAGAGATAGAAATGAAAGGAGCACTAAGAGTCTACCTTACTCCAGAAAGAATGGCAATCATCAAGAAATCAAATAATCCTCTTCCAGCTGGAACTATGGAGGATGTAGAAGAGAAGAAAAAGAAGGTTCCTGCTGTGGCATAAAACCTTAAGAAAAAGCAAAGCCATTTTGCAGAGTTGAAGGTACAGCGCCTGAGAAAGAAGTTTGTCCAGAAGACACTTTGCAAGGTGAGGAGAAAGCTCATCTATAAGAAAGTCAGGCACTATCATAAGGAGTACAGACAGATGTACAGAACTGAGATCTGAATGGCTAGAAAGGCGAGAAAAGCTGGCAACTTCTATGTCCCTGCCCAGCCCAAACTGGCATTTGTCATCCAGATCAGGGGTATCAGTGGTGTGAGCTCAAAGGTCCACAAGGTGTTGCAGCTTCTTTGCCTTCGCCAAATCTTCAGTGGTACCTTCATTAAGCTCAACGAGGCTTCAATTAACATGCTGAGAATTGTGGAGCCATACATTGCATGGGGCACCCAAACCTGAAGTCAGTGAATGAACTAATATACAAGCGTGGCTATGGCAAAAGCAGTAAGAAGAGAATTGCCTTGACAGATAATTCGTTGATTGCTCGATCTCTTGGTAAAGACGGTATCATCTGCATGGAGGATCTGATTCATGAGATCTACACTGTTGGAAAACACTTCAAAGAGGCAAATAACTTTCTGTGGCCATTCAAGTTATCATCTCCACAAGATGGAATGAAGAAAACGACCACTCATTTTGTGGAAGGTGGAGATGCTGGAAATAGGGAAGACCAGATCAACAGGCTTATTAGAAGGATGAACTAAGGTATGTACCATGGTATTTTTATGATTTGGTCAGTTAATAAAATATCTGCTACCAAAAGAAAGAAAGAAAGAAAGAAAGAAAGAAAGAAAGAAAGAAAGAAAGAAAGAAAGAAAGAGGAGAGAGAGGGAGGGAGAAAAGGAGGGAGAGAGAAAGAAAAGAGGGAGGGAGGGAGGGAGAGAAGGAGGGAGAGAGAGATCAAATAATAACAAATACTACAGAGGCTGCCAATAAAGGAACTTTTCTTTACTGTTGGTGGGAATGTAAACTAGTATAACCATCACAGAAATCAGTATGGAGATTCCTCAAAAACTAAAAAGAAAAATTCCATTTAAAGTAGCTTTTCCCTCCTCCTTTACATCTCTTCCTGAAAGGGTTAAAGACATCATATGATAGTGATACCCATGTTTATAGCACTACAACTTATAAGACCTTAATGGTGGAAACAGCCTATAAATCCATCAGTAGAATAGGCAAAAAAAAAATGTGGCAATTTATACACAACTATACACTCTGCTGTAATGAATAATAAATGAGTCATCGTAAGAAAATGGATTCACTTTGAGACCATAATGTTAAACGAAATGAAACAGACACACCAGTTTTAACACCTCATGGTTTCTCTTATGTGAGAAACCTGAAGCATGCATGACTAAAGAGCAAAATAAAGCGAGAAAATACTACATAGTGAGCTGGATCTTTTGCAAATGGGAAGGAGACCAAGAGACAGAGGAAGAGCTTTGGGAGAAGCACGGAGGGAGATGAAAAAAAGGATTAAGATGTACTATATACATGTACTAGCTCTGCATTAGGAATGCCATCACCATATACCGAAATGCATACCAATAAAAAGAAATGCATATGGAAGATGAGGGTATATATTTAGAGTTATTCAAATTAGACTAATTTTAATTAAATTCAAAATTAGAAAAATAAAAAATAAAACAGTATTGTTTACTCTGAAAAATTCAAGACATTTCTTAACCAGCTAGAATTCTACAAATGTCCTTAATATTGGAAAGAAATAAATCCCATGTCTTTTCCATCTTTGGACCTCAAAACATTCCTTCACTGAGTTAGGCATCAGAATGTCAGAGTGTGTAGAATCTGTGTGAATGCTGGTTATTGAAGAACTAATAAAGCGAGTCTTGTTTGTGGAACAGCTGTTGGCTTCATTGTTCTTGTGTCACATATTAGAAAGAACTGGTATGCTGGTGGAATGTGACCTCACTGGGTAGCTTCGTCATGCCTGAAACACTGCCTGAATAATCTATTTTCATCATGTACCACGGAGGAAATGGGAAAATAAAACCAACATAACACAAGACCCCAAAAAACTGTCAGAAAACAGTACTACTGCTTAAAATCACTTGTAAGAAATGTTTCTTAATATTCAAGATTCTAGAGTTGAAGAATAATGTTTTACTCAATTTATTAACCTGCAGTATATAGTACATCTCCTCAAAATAATTTCAGAGTCCAAATAACTTTCAGGATATTTTTCAAAAGGTGTTTTGTACACACACCGCTTCAATAATGACTACAAAATTATAGGTGCAATTCATTGCTTTTTGAGCTAGCTAATGCCTCCAGTTTGGTCATTTATAAATTGTTTTCATTTGAAAAATGGCTTTCAGTCTTTCCTGACCATTATTCTAGCAAGAAACACATCTTACATTGCAAGCCAGTATAGATACACACAAATATGCGCAAGTACTGAGGTTTTACAATACAAACTTTTCCCTACTATTGTTAAAAGTCCTCAAACAGTTACTTTTAAAAAACAAACAAACAAACAAACAAACAAACAAACAGTATCTGTGATATGTTGGTAAAGACTCAATTCCTATCATGAGTCACAATTTTCAGTATCACTGCATCAGATGATGAAAACCTAATGTAACACTCATGCATACTGTGAACACAGGTCAGCACTGTGTTTCTTTGTGAACAAATGGCTTTCCCCAGGGTTCCTCCTAAGCCCCCACATTCTGCTGCTTTTCACTGGCAGCTTCGAGTCCTACTAAAGGCAGGTGGGAGTGGGCAGGTCAGCAGGAGGACTGAAGAACAGTCAGGCCCCTAAGGCCCTGCTGCCTCCCTTGGCCTGCTCTGACCTGTGGAGCAGGTCTTGCTACTCAGGGTCTGTCCTGCTTTGCTTTCACACTTAATCTTCATTGTTATTCTTTACCTTGTGCATACAAACACACACAAACACACACACACACACACACACACACACACACACACACACAGAGTAAAGTGAAATAAAATTCCACTGGGTAAACAAGAACAATATGGAAGTTATTTTGAGGTTTTAAACTTCTAGTCAATATTGTACTATGCTCTGTCATACTCAAACTGTTGGGGATTTGTTATATAGATTTTCAACATACCTTTAAGTACTCCCACAATGGAAACTGGACTAATGAAAAAGGAATCTGGAAGTAGAGAATAAAAAAAATACTCATATTAGAAAAACCATTGTTTACCTAGAGGCATTATCATAATAAGACCTATAATTACTTAACACATACACATACACACACATAGAAACTCACAGGTAAGCATACACACTAAAAAAAAAAAAAAAAAAAAAAGTAAATCATAACTGTAAACTGTAGATCCACAACTTGTGGAGCCCAAGCACATAAAATGATGCTGTGCTTCTCAGTGAAGTGCAAAGACTTGACCTTTTCTACTTTGGAGTTAGGGCTTCTCCCCAGCTTAGTGCTTAAAGAATTAGGATTTAAAAACAAAATAAAACAAAAGGTGGAGGAGGGAGTGTGGAGGGATAAAGAGCGGAAAGGGGCAGCCCACAGAGAGCAGGAAGGGAACACAAGGTGAGGAAGACAGGAGGGGAAGAAAGAAAAGGCCAGTGGAGAGGAACAGGAAGGGTGAAAAGAGGAGGGAGGAAGAGTGAGAAGGGGAGAGAGGAAGAAGGGGATAGAAAAGAGAGAAGAGTAAAGAAAAGGAGAAAGGGAAGAGGAGGGAAAGGAAAGGAGAGGGAGAGAACAGGAAGAAGGTAGGAGTATGTACGCAGAGGGCATGGAGGGAAGAGCGAACAGGGACAGAGCCACTGGCGAGAATACGTCAAGCATGAGGACTCCAGGACACAGCAGCCTGGCCTGGAGTTGGAGGCTGGAGGAGCAGTCGCCACACAGATGGGGCCTGACTCCTCACAGAGGCCCAGGGCCATTGTGAGAGGTCATCACAGACTTATACAGGAAGTAACTACAGTGAGCCGTCTGACAACACAAGCTAAAATTATTAGGTCTTTCTCGTTCTATGCCACTGACTCCTCTTAACGCCAGTGTAAGGCAGCCAGTACTGTTACTGCCCTCTCTCTCTAGGACCTGAGCAGCCATAAAACATGCCTGAAGACGTTGGTATTCATACAGCACCAAAGAGAAAGCTAACAGTATCTCTCTAAATACAAATTCACTCAGAGTACAATGGATTTGCTATTCAATTTTCTGAAATTCTAAAAAAGCCTTTGTATTTCGTAAAAAACAAAGGACTGAACTGCAGCAGACTCGCTGTCAGCTTAGTAATCCATCTAGTTACCGTCCACTGGCCAGGGTCTGTGCTGGCACTGACAGCGCCTTCAGCATGCCAGGGCCACAGTACCCTTATGTACAGTCATATGAAGAGCTCTTACCTCCAACAGAATTAAGGGCATTACGTTATTTCTGAAATATTGATATGTATTTAGAAATTTAAAGTCAGGCACCATCTCTGACAGTCCAACAACTGCCCTGAGTACAGCAGCACCCACAGCAAGAAAACCTTTCTTTCAGAAGTGTATTATACTTTATATCTCGACATCCTCCTAGAGCTTCATGGGGTTACAGGCAGGGCCCTCAGAAGGTGAGTGGGTTGCTGAGGCACTGTACCCCACCTGCTGTGAGGAGGTGGGGCCTGGCTAGAGCCTGGGCTGCTGTGCAGAGTGGAAGGCTAAGTCTGGCTCTTCCCCTGGCTCTCTGCTTCTGTCAGCATGATATAAAGTTTCTCCTCTGTGATGCTACTCTGCCATGAGCCAGACAAGCAGGAGCTGAAACTTCTACAAACTGTAAGCCCAAGTACACTTCTCCTCCTGTAAATTATAGTTGTCGGGTATCGTGCACTCATGGATCAGAAAAGCAACTAAGACAAGGTGTCAGTGAGATGAAAACGATGCCAACAGCCTGGATTAATACAGCCAACTATGATCTCAGAAAACTCTGACCTCGTCATACATGAGCAGATTCCCACTGTGAATGTCAAAAGTCCCACATGAGGAATTAAATTTAGATTAGATTTTCTTTTTTTTTCTTCCTTGGTCACCAAAAAACATGAAATCACCTGACACTGGCCATTCTGAAACTAAACAGATGTATTTCTAATTAAGTTGACAAAACTGCAAATCTGATGATATAATAGGCTTCTAAAACTTTTTCTAAGTTTTAAAAAATGTTATGATAAAATACATCCAAGAGATAGATCATGTTTTCTTCTCTCTCAAAAGTTAATATACCACATTTAATAAGACTGTAAATATTATATATATGCATATATATATATATATGATGAAAAAAGCATTACAATGTATTGGGATGATTTTTGCTAGAATATTCATGTCTTAACCCATAAAACTGCACTAAATGTTACCTGAACTTATTTGATATTGCTATTAGATTCTGAATTCGGTGGAGGAACATTTGATCAATTTTCTTCTATTGAAAGTTATTAGACTGTTCCTTCAGTTTAAATAATTTAAAAATTGCATATTTGGAATGGCCAAACTATTCCACTGGTTATTTATTTTAAAAAGTAAGCCAACAGTAAATCCTAGTATTACACTCAAACAAGATGAACTGACAGTTTAAGGAAATTAAATGTACTGTAAATGTTTAAATAATCACATTTATTTCTGGCTTCTAGGAATGAAATACCATTTATAAGATAAATTCTTGATGTGTGAAAAATTTTTCCTATGTTCAAGTCAAAACTGTGTTGCACACTTGTCGTTCACTTTCCAAAGTGGCAAGTACAGAAATGTGTCCCTCACATGTGGAAGGCAGCCTGCCAGCAATCACAGCTATGCCGTTCCACGAACACTTCTCCCCACAGTGGGGAATGCAGCCTTCAGAGAGTTACAAAATGGCTCACTGTTGTGACCTATTTAATGCCTGCATGTAAGATGTTTTGTTTCAATAAGGCCATTAAGACCCAGGGCACTAATAAGTGAGTGGCAGCAAAGGCGGCTACCATCAAAGGGGCAAGAGGTAAGGGAAGACCTGCTACAAGTCAACACAGCAACTTCTACAGCACAGTACATGTGAGGACGCAGGCAGAGGAAATAAAATGAAATCTGGGTGTCGCAATCAGGGGCAGCAAGTGCTGGGCATCACTAATAGCATCACCATTACTAACTGTAAGCATGCTTTATCTATCATTAACTACCAGACCTGAATTATGCATAAAGCTAATCAATATTTCCAACTCTGTGATATAGAAATAACTATCTGTACCTTTGTGGTCCTTTAATAAATAGAGAAGTGATTTGTAATGTAGCTGAGAGGATGTGAAGTTACTATTTCTAATGTAACACTGACCTCTAAAACTCTACATTTCAATGAAAGATCACATCAGAACACGAATTCATTCTTTAAAATAAATAAAATTTGACTGGAAGCTGCAATGAATGCAATATGAGTGTCCCAAGAAGCTTAAAGAACTAGGAAGTACATTTAAAAAGCTGTGAAAGTTATCACATTTGGCATAAATAATACTACAGCACTGATTGCTTAAAATTAAAAAAGGATGTGCAAGACCTCAAATCACAAGGTATTTGAAGCACTGCATGGAAAAGGTAGCTCTGCCACTGAGGTGTAGGTCCAGGTACCAGCGCATTCCAAGTTCAACCATCTCCACAAGTGATCTGTGAATGACCACCTGGGTGACTCTTCTCGAAGAAGGAGCAACTGCCTCCATTTTAGCTGAACTTGACCCCATTTCCAGGTCTTGATGTGAACAGAGCTGTCTAGGACTTTTCCTTATCCCTTCAGCTGGCTTTAAGCAATGCAGCTAAGCCCAGGTGAGGTGCTGACGTACAGTCTTTGAAGCAAAGACAACAGGGCAGTGTTTTCCCCGACTCTTGTTGCTCCCAAATAAAACATGTGTGAACCAGCAGGATGGAAAGCTATATTCCACACAAGCCTCGAGATAACAGGATATGACTTCCCAAGATATAAAAGGCTACATACACACCAGAGCTGAAGCACGACCCCTAAAAGGGCATATACTGCCTCAATTGTGTTATGCAGGTTATTCTTTCCACACACCCTTCTCTCTGCATACTGCAGAGGTACTATCATGCCTCCCACCTAGCCCAGCTCAGAGCACTTATGTGTGTCCCACAATTCTCACAGTCACTCATCCTCAAATCACTCCCTTCTTCATAAAGTAATAAAATCTGGGTTTGGTCCTGGGCCTTCATTCAGGTTAGCCATCATTGTAGCCAGACTCAGGACCCCCTTGATTCCCCACCATTTTGGATAGATACATTATTGTCTTTCTTTATGTTGTGAGTTGCACTGGGAATGGGAGATTGGAATTAATTCGTAGGAATCCAATAACTTCCATGGGATTACAATTACAGAATTCCTGGGCTGTGATGAGGACTGGGAGGGGCTCTCTATACTAGTCACAGCAAGTCTCTCCTTTGTTGCATCAATTTCCAAATTCCTATTTTGATTTAAGGTTCTCCATTCTAGTGCCCCATGGATAGCAATGCCTTTTCCCATCCAACCCCAGTGGTAACCAGGACAAATGGAGAAGTATAAAAATTTGCCCCAAAGTAACTACCATTCCTTTTTTTGACGTTTACAGGTGCTGAGGATTGAACCCAGGCATTTCACAATGAGCTACAACTCCAGTCCTTTTTTATTTTGAGAGAGGGTATCACTAAGTTGCTATGTTTCCTAGGCAGTGTTTGAATGTGTGATCCTTTGTCTCAGCCTCCCAGAGTGCTAGGATTACAGATCTGCATCATTATGCCCGGTCAAAGTGACTATTATTCTTTAAAAAATCAAAAATACATATGAGAACTATTCAAAGCTAGTCTGCTTTTATTTGATGTCTCACTAAATATTTTCAATAGTGAATACATTTTGCTTGTGTGTATGTGTGAGAGAGAGGGAGAAAGAGAGAGAGTGAGAGAGAGGGAGGGAGGGAGGGAGGGAGAGAGGGAGGGAAACAGGGAGACAGGGAGACAGACAGGGAGACAGACAGGGAGACAGACAGGGAGACAGGGAGACAGACAGACTCACAATAACCTAAAAATAAAAAGAGTTGGAGGTCTCACACTTGCAAACAGACAACTGACTGACTGAATGACTGGGGACTGAACCCAGGGCTGCCATACCACCGGGTTATATCTTGTTATTTTTCATTTCAG